TGAGGGGGGTGTGTGAGGGGTCTGATCCTGCTGTGAGGTGGGGTGGTGTGTGAGGGGAGTGTGTGAGTGGTCAGATCGTGCTGTGAGGGGCCACTTTGTGCTGTGGGGGTGGAATATGGCGGCAGATCCTGCTGTGACAGGGGTGGGGATGCAGTGTCTGCTGTGGGCTGATCCTGCTGCTGGGCAGCAGCGGGAATGAAGGGGCAGTGCTTGTTGGGGCTGAAGGGGCAGTGTCCACTGGGGGTGACCTCATGGAAAGACACTCGTCCTTTAGAGGGTCAACACAGACACAATGGGCCTTATGACTACCTTCAGTGCTGTAGCCGTTCTACAATACTATAGTCACCTGGTAATCACTCAGATGATCGGACTGGTGACCAAAAACCTGGCTCATTTTCAGTAGCATCTTGAAGCTGGATGTTTAAAGATTTACGGACTAAGTTCTGGACTTTAAGCCAGTGGATGGTTGAATTCTCAAATTTTCTCTTAACTTTCAGCTTCTGGCCCCCCTGTCTCTTTTAGAGATCCTCTTTGAATCTCCCTCTTTCCTTTCAGTCACCCATCCTAATGTTTCTGTTTGTGTCTTGGTTATAGCTGGATGACTGTACATCTGTGTTTTAAATGCAATTCTAAGAAATAAGTGGTCAGTTTCTTCATGCTCCTGTGATGTGCCACATGATATTATTCTAAGCTAAAGATGCTGTATCAATGCAATCTCATCCAGTCTAGGACTTTGGATTGGTACCATGGGAGGTTTTAATGTATCACCTGAAAGATAACATTTGTGATAATAAAGCACACCCTGGGGTATTGTCAGCAGTTCTGGGTGCTGCAAATTCAAAGGGATATATTAATACAGAAGCAAAGTACGATGCATGCTGGAAATCAGAAACAAAAAAAATTCTAGAAATACTGAGCAAGTCAAGCCTCCAAATCCTGTATGTTGCTGTCCAGTGAGGTCACAAACTCTGTTTCTCTCTCTGTGGATCTTACCTAGCGGCTCAGCATTAAGTGTCCACGTTGTGTTTTTTTTTGTGGTGCCCAGAATGGCTTGGTGTTCCAGAGTGTGTTAACTTTAAAATATCCTGTCTAAAACACATGTTCTGTCAGATGAACATAAAAGACCTGAGATGCCACTCCAAGTAGCTAAGGGCTTATGACAATCAACTGCATCAGTATTGTGCCTTTACTATAGGAGAGTGTCCCATGACGCTTCATAAGGCTGTTATGAAGGAAAAAATAGTCACTTGAGTCACGATTGGAAACATTAGTTTAGGAGAGTTTGGCATGAGGGCTCTTTTTAAAGAGTGAGAGAATTAGAGAGGAAATTTTCGAGCTGAGCTGATTGCACTTCTTCACATGTGCAATTTCCTCCTAACTCTCTCAACCTTTAGGATTCTCTTTAAAATAAACCCATTGGACCAAGTAAAACAAAAAAAAACTTGTGGATGCTGGAAATCTGAAACAAAAATAGAAAGTGCTGGAGAAATTCAGCAGTTCTGCCAGCATCTGTGGAATGAAAAACAGTTAATGTTTCAAAGGATCGCTGGACTCGAATCGGTAACTCTATTTTTCTCTGTGATTGGAGGAGTTGCAAAGGCAGGGGAGAAGAAGGCTGTGATTGTGGCAAAGTTGTAGTGTGTTCTGGCCCAATGACAGTGATCATTCAGTGACCCAGCCTGAGAGGAGTCTGGTGCTCAGAAAGTGCTCTGGGAAATGCATTGTGCTCAGTGTTATAGACCTAGATTCTTGGCTGTACTGGGAGGTTTGTTTGAGGTATCCTGAAGTTGTACAAAACACTGAATAAGAAAGGCTGGCTGCTTGGAGCCAGTTATATATCAAACCTTTGTCAGTCTTTAGCTCAAGTTTGTAATGTGCCTTAGAAACTTTGTAATAAGATTGTACCATAGCACTGGGATCCATGTCTGTACAAAATTGGGCCAGAGCTGTTATTGTATGTGACTGATTTAAGTGCAGTTATAACTCGTCTTTTGAGTATTTTTTTTGCTTGCTTATTTATTTAATTTGATTTAGCCGTGAGATCTGGAAGGATTGATTCTCTGTTGAACTAAGGATCAAGGCCTGGAGACTGTGCCTCTGAATTTCCAACTATTTTATAATAGTGTTCCTACATCAGAAAATGAGTGTAGAATAATCTCATAAAGGAACTGGTGAGGAGAAAGGAGCCCTGAAAATAACAAAGTAGACCTTGAGACTGTGTCTCAAAAAGCCTGGGATTTGGTGGGGGCAGGGAGCGATTGACTGAAGGAAATATCTTGAGCCCTGGTCAACCTATATTCAAGCATATAATCTATGACTTATAGGATAGAATATATTTTTTAAAGCCCATCAAAATCTTAGCATTTTCTAATTTAAAACTTTCACGCAGGCGTGTTTGTTCAGGAATAAGATTGCTGAATTAAATGAACAGTCAGCTACTCATAGAACTAATAGCAAAACCCAAAAGCAACAGGATAAGTGGTATTGTTACAGTAAATTTACTTTATATTATTGTCTGAATCTGAAACTTTATAATGTGACCTTTATTCTTAGATTTTCCTTTGACACAGATGTTGAGGCTACTGAATTGATTTCTGTTTTCAGTAGATTGCTTTTGTTTTTGTTTTTAAGTGTTAATGAAAAATTTGATAACTTTATCCCAGATTTGTTTTTAAGGCTGTTCTTGTGGCTTTTGTTTTGTGTAGCATTGGTATTTTATTAGTTCTATTATTTGCTTTATTTGTGCAGAAGCTCCGAAAATGAAATATAACCAACCATCCTGCTACGTGAATGGATATAAATTTTAAACCTGTAATTTCATTCGAGGGTTGAAATGATGTTTATGAAGTGCTTTAGCTTTGTTTGATTGTTGTCATGACGTATTGAATAAAGATTAGTGTTGTGGTCTGTTGTGGCTATCTATCACGTTAGTGACTAGCATGAGGTTTACACTTACGGAGTCACTTTGTAAAGTTAGAGCTAGTGTTTTGTGCTGTTTGTAGCATGTCAAAATATGATTTTTTTTAAATCTCGAGTGAAAAAAGTGCAGCTTTTATCACCTGGTATACAATGTGAAGCATACAGCCTACGTGCAATCACTTGTGCCTCTGTCATGCAGATGCATAAAAATGAAGTTAAAATGTTTCAGTATTCAGTATAAAGAAAAAAAAGCTTTGAGTCCTCTTGGGTGTCCTTGAGGTTTTAATCCATCTTACAACATGTCACTAGGTATATTTCATGTGCGCTAGGAAATAGGTTATGTGTAATTAATTGAAAATGCTATAACATTGCGAGATTCTTAGTTCATCCCAATATTGCTGCTAGCAGGCTTGCTACCATTACTTCACTCCAGTGTTCTCTCCAAATGCAGCTGAGGTTTAGTCCTTCCAGAATTGTCGTGGTATTTTTAGACCAAGTTATTTAATTAGGCACAAACAAAAAACTGCCTTGCATGTGAAGCAGTAGGGAGAAATTACACAGAACATAGGTTTAGATCCATATGTAAAGTCAGAATCATAGAGTTGTACAGCACAGAAACAGACCCTTTGGTCCAACTTGTCCATGCTGACCAGATATCCTAATTCAGTCTAGTCCCATTTGCCGTGTATTTGCACACGTTCTGACTATTATACAAAAGCAGGTGTATTCCCAAATAACCCTGTCTTGGCACTTACTGTACTGTCTCATGCGCCTCTTATTAACTGCTGCACTTGTTTTCAGTCAGCTGTTTTGTAGAAGGTCCTATTTCATTGTTGCGCATTTTACTGATGTTTATTAAATGATATTGCTGTTTGTATCAATTTTGATTTGAACTGGGGCAGTAATTTGCATTGTTTGTCCCACTTCTAAGACCCTTTGTTATTTTAAGAGACTTTAAATTATAAAAGTGCTGAACCAATTGTGTGGGATTTTCAGGGAATCAACCATGGGAGTTGTATATCTACTGAAAGAAAGAATAGCACTAGTTTTTTAATCTTGCAAGTGCTGATGCCACAAGCACACTTAAGCAGTTGAGTTATGGTTCAGAAGGATTAGTCCTCATTTAGATTAGCATGCAGAATTTTTTTGTCCCTTTTCAGAAATCTTGTTTAGCACAATTTGTCATGTCATGTCACTTTTTGACCTGCAATGCAGGGAGATGCCCCTTCTTGCACCAGGCCTGGGAGATTCCACCTTTGTTCTTTGTACTTGTTCTAACTGCCCTGTAGTCCTATATGGATGCCAACAGTGTGGGTTCAAAAATGGACTGTCCTCTTCTTCTCAACCTTTCCCTTGCCTGAGGTGTGGTGACCCTCAATTGGGCATCACGGTGGCTCAGTGGTTAGCATTGCTGCCTCACCGCGCTGGGGACCCGGGTTCAGTTCCACGCTTGGGCAACTCTCTGCGTGGAGTTTGCATGTTGTCCCCATGTTTGCATGGGTTTCCTCGCACAGTGCAAAGATGTGCACATTGAGTGGTTTGGTCATGCTAAATTGCCTGTAAT